TGCTGCTGTCTGTGACTGTGTTTGTCTGTCTGTCTGCCATGATGTGGGGCTGTTGTCTGTGACTGTGTCTGTCTGTCTGCCATGATGTGGTGCTGCTGTCTGTGACTGTGTTTGTCTGTCTGTCTGCCATGATGTGGTGCTGCTGTCTGTGACTGTGTTTGTCTGTCTGTCTGCCATGATGTGGTGCTGCTGTCTGTGCCATGGGATGGTGCTCTGATTGTTTGTGTCAAAATGAGCTTGTATTAAATTGGTCATGATAATAATCAATTTGGTCAATGCTAAAATTTATGTGGGCACGATACAAATGCTGATACTTACGTGTTTAAAGATATGTTAACAATTCGCTGAATGTTTACTGTATTTATACGCAGTGACAGTAGTGCCCCCTGTCACATTCCAGTCACCACTCATGCCCGACACTTGTTTCAGACTGATGGACCTGGTTTCCACTACGACGCACGATGTGTATGTGAAGCTGGTCGTCTCGTCGTTGAGCTACAATAGGAGCGGCATCGCGCGCACCATCCTGTCTCGCATCCTCACCGGCGGAACCGACGTACGTGTTACGCCGCACGCCCGCAGTCTTCACGAAAAACCTTTTGTGCCACTTGCCCTTTGGGCAGGTATTCTGTAAAATGTACATGCCCATTCTAGTTGCCCATATATTTTGCAGGAATATTTTTGGAATATCGAGTAATGAAGTGTGCACCAGACAACTTCTAGACATGTGTGCTAATGTTTCGTGATTTTAAATTAAAAACCTTTAGTTAATGGCCAGTTGTGTTATAGTTAATGCGTTTTGAAAGCAGAGCCCGTCGGGCAAGTGAGCTTGCAATGTTTACATGCCGGCCAAGATTTCTACACGTTTTGGGCGTCGGGCGCCCGGCTAAATTCGAAGATTGCGCTCGCCGGCCATCCTCCCTCAGCTCCCTGCTTTGCTTTTGCGTAAAAAGAAGGATAATTGATTTTAATGGTGGCCATTTCGAAATTCAAGATGGCGCCCTGATACCATGCGGATGGAGATTGGTACCCGATCTCATATGAATGTACACCTCTTAAACTACCTGTGTGCCAATTTTCATGCTTTTGTCAAAAGGTGCACAATTATATCCCCTAGCTCCAGTACTAAAGCCCAGTGCTTCTTAAACTGGTGAATGGTTTGCCCAGAAGTGAATGAAATTATTTTGGGGTGAATGGAAATGCTTGAAAAACGTAAGAAAATTTAGTCGCGGGTGAATGAAATTTTGTGATAAAGACTCGAAGGTGAATGACACTGAAATAGTTTAAGAAGCACCGCCATAGCACCCCCCTCCCATTCTCTCTTTACACTCTGGTGGTGACGTGCGGGTGTGTGACCACTGCATCGTTGTTGCATTGTTGCAGAGTTGTCGCGTGTACGCCACTCAGCACCTGCGCGTGCTGCTGCGTGCTCACGTGCTCAAGTTTGATGGTTGGGGCGTCGACATGCTGGTGCAGCAGCTGTACGACAAGAGCAAAGCCGTCTCCCTGCTAGCCCTGGACGTGCTCGACGAAGCGGCCGAGGACGAGGTAAGCGCCACCTAGCGGCGGCCCGGCGAGTTACGCCAATCTCTGACTGCGATCTCTAGTGTGATTTTGATGTGCGTGATCGTTTTCTTGGTTTGACTCTCAAGTTGCCGGATTTATCCGTGGTTTTGATGTGCACTAGATCGTTTTCTATTCATATTTTCTATTCATATTCTTTCATATCGTCTATAGATCATCTATCAATCATCTATAGATCATCTATAGATCATCTATCAATCATCTATAGATCATCTATCAATCATCTATAGATCATCTATAATCATCTATAGATCATCTATCAATCATCTATAGATCATCTATAGATCATCTATCAATCATCTATAGATCATCCGTATCAAATCATCTATAGATGCATTCTAATCAATCATCTATAGATCATCTATAGATCATCTATCCATCACTATAGATCATCTAATCAAATCATCTATAGATCCAGGGTCTCTCGACAGGATGAAATTCAAACAGGGGGGAGGGGAAGGGTGGGGGAGGGGGAGGGGGAGGGGGGAGGGGGAAACTAGGGGGTCCAGGGGCGTGTATTTTTACCGTAGCGACTAATTACATGCGTAAAATCGACCACACCATAGACGGTATTTTGGGGTTGCTTGTATATAAAGATAGCCGAGTTCGGGTGTACAGTTAGTGGAGCAGGTTAAGCTGTTCATTGTCAGGTTAACATGTGTACATGTCCTGCAAGTCCATGCGTGGTACGGTAAAAAATACACGCGTCTGATGTTGGGCCTGGTCGAACGGCAAAAATTCTTAGACGATCGATTCCGCGAGGCGCGTGGCAAACTTTATTGTGGTGAATTTAAAGGCGGAGGTGCAAGCGATTCAAACAGGGGGGAGTTTTCCCAAAGCGGGCGCGCGCACGCCCAGTTTGCAGCAACGTAGGGAGAACCCTGAGATCATCTATAATCATCTAGAGTCATATCTATCAGTCATCTATCAGTCATCATCAATCATCATAATCATCTATAGATCATCTATAGATCATCTATCAATCATCATAGATCATCTATAGATCATCTACAGTGCTCAATTTTAAGGTTTTTTTTGGGTTGTCCGAGGACAACCAAGAGAGTAGCATATGGTTGTCCCACAAGAGTTTTGGTTGTCGCGGATATTATTTAAACATGTGCTGGCATGCGCTCTGCTCACGTGATGGCTCAGTGCTGTAAAAGCAAAAGGCCTAATCATGTACATTTTGTACGTAAATAGGCAGTGACAGCAGACATGGTCATTTCGCATTGTTTCACTCATTATATGGAGAGAATAAAATATTGGTAATGTGGTAAATGAATGCTGGTGCAATGACGGTATAATAATAGTAATTAAAAGTTGCATGAAAGTTATTTCATAACATTTACATTAAGTTAACTAACACTACTAACATTACTAAAACAGTGTCAAGTCACAGATGAGTAAAAATGTAATCACGAAACATTGTGTTGTTAAACACGTGATGTTATACTTTGTACCAAGGCAAGCCAGACAATGCGTCTAGACATGTACGTTTGCAGGCGTATTGTGCAACCCTGGCCGTATGTAAAATGAACAGCGCGCATTATGAATATAAATTTTATAGAGGTTGGACACCGGACAACCACGGAAAGCAATTTGTAGTTGCCCGAGAGAAAATCCAGTCGTCACGGACGACCGGATGACTGTTAAAATTGAGCCCTGATCTATCAATCATCTATAGATCATACTATAGATCATCTATGCACTATTCATCATCTATAGATCATCTATCAATATCATGACTATTAGATCATCTATCAATCATCTATAGATCCAATCTATAGATCAATGCTATCCAGGGCCCTAGCTAGGATTTTTTCTGCACTGTAGCCAAACAAATAGCCAGAATCATTGTCCAAATGTAGGGGGCCAATTTGGATTCCTGTTAGCCACACCTGTGAGCGCTAAACAATTTATCTGAACAAACAAAGGCGATAAATAATTTTTCTTTTTCTTTATTTTTCAGCAAACCTTTGATATGCATGAGTAACAGAACTAGCACTTATTTAATGCAACAAACTATTATCACCACCGTCTACTGACTGAGACACTAACACTAATGACTCCGACTGATCAGAGACATTACCCACAAATTGTCCTGAAGTTTTTTCCTTTACTGGCTGGCAGTAAAATTCGTCGGCTTCTAATTTTTTTTGGCACAAGCGAGACCACTGACATAGCTACTTTTCAAAGTAAACATCTCTTCTTACTGGGCCTTCAATTGAGTGTTAGAATGTCCACAAACAGCCTTTTCTGTTTTTGCAGATTATTGTCTCAAGAGCTGTTTTAAACCAATTACTGTCTAGACTAAACCCCTCTCGCACATCAACTCAAGTCACATCACATCAACACACTAGTGCACACTCACAAACAATCACATTCAGCTCATCAAAGCCTGACTATTACTTCCGCCAGTTATAGCAATTTTATACAGTTTTACTAGCTTTACAAGTAACCGTCACACAGCAGTACTCACACCAAACAATCCCGGCACCATACACGCATGCACACGCACGCGACACTGTGGGCCGCGCACTACACACACACGTGCAAACAGCGACGCCGTAAGTAAATAATTTTGACTTTTGCCAGCGCCTGTTGCCGTGGCGCGTGCCGTGTGTGGAGACGGGCCCCTTTTTTTGAAGACACGGCTAGGTTCTTACTGAAGGAAATAGAGACAACAGGTGTAATGCCCAAGTTTTGGGAAAAACGCACATGATGGAATTCCAAAGGCGTGGCAGTAGGCATGAATGTGAATTCTGACAGGCAGACGCGGGGAGGCTAGAGAGTAAGAGGGGTTCTGGGGGTCCCGCAGCCGGAAGGGAAAATTTAAACAACATTTGAATGTCTTAGACTCCATTTGATGCACCCAGCGAAAATAAAATTTCACCCTTTAGGTATTAAACTCTACTCTGTTAGCCAGACGACTATCTAAGTCTCACCTGCGCATCTTCGGGCGGAGACTCAGGCATGCTGGAACCCATTCTCCTCGCCGCTCGTCCTCCGCATGGCGCTAGCGGCAGCTTCTCAGCATTCACAGCCAAAGAAAAAAAGAAGAAAAAGGCAGCCGCGCGCACCCGTTAACCCACGGCCGTGGCATGTGCACGAATCTGTGGCTTAAGTGCTTTCGGCTGCTGGGGCGGCATTGATTGAAGTAGCGGGGGGGGGGGGGCGCGGAATGCACTGAATTTTGTTACAGGTCCGCGTGGGACTGTGGTTATTGCTGTATATATGTGAGGGGTGGGCACCGCGTGGTAATGAGGGAGCGACAGCAAAAACTTTCCGCCGGATGCCGAAGGGAAAAAGCTGGCAATTGGGATAATAGGTTGCTGTTTCGAAAGCGATCAAATAGGAATCGATGTTTGCCCCCCGCCCGGCTGGGTCAATGTTTAATTAGCCGGGAAAGATTACGTTCGTCACTTTTTTCGCGCAATAAGACTTTCACAAAGTCGCCAGATTACTAATTTGTTTCGGGCTCATTATGGCGATTGGCGAGTGCGGGTAGCGAGGGCCCCTGATCTATAGAGCATCTATCATAGATCATTTTCTTAGTTTGACTCTTGAGTTGTCAGGTTTAACTGTCGGTTTGAGGATCTGCTTTGCTCACTGCAACATCCACCCATGAACGTATTTTGATGAAGCGTGCATGCTGCCGTGTGTGTGTGCGCACGTAACACGTACATACGTGCATGCACGCACCGCACGCCACGTGCACACACGTACATGCGTGACGTTGTTCTGTAGGCAACCTTAGCGCGCTGGTGTTCATGCCGACGTCGGTGCTGCCACCTGGGTAACCGCGGCTCGATGCTCATGGTTCGCTTCCTCTCAACACTGTTCGGTTACAAGTACCTCACCAACTCGAACTTTTGTCTCCCGGGAGCTGACCAAGTGGAACAAGGTGAGCCTGTGGGTGATGTGGAGAAGAGTGGGGGAGGAATGGGGTGGGGGATGGTATGGTGGTATGGAAAGGGAGTCGTGGCTGGTGGTGAAGTAAATTTGAAAAGTACTGCCCGAGAATCCGGAAAATCTGAAAAACCGGACCGACCCAATCCGCGAGCAGTCTGGATTTTTGGACTTCTACTGCATGTGCCCATCTACGTGAACGACGTGTCGCGTACCAGCATTTTAACAACTTACGTTCACTGTGTGACTGTGTGATGAGTTCACAGACGTTCAACATCCGATATGTCAGCATGGTTGAGCGAGCAGATGAATGATTCGGCTGACTAGCTCACCAGGTGGCAGACGGTGGCGCAGCTTCAGCCGGAGATCTAGCGTCAAGTAAGCGGTTTCCTCCAGTTTGTTTCCTTTTGCGATTTATCTTTATTTTATGCGAGGTTTCTAATTTATATACTACAAACCTGCTACTACTGAAAACTACTACTACATTACTACTGAAACGTCTACTATAAAAAAAACTTGCTGTTTTATCAACATGAATATTGTATTCGCATCCTCTATCAGTCACGGCCGCGCACTCTCGGTCACCCAGCCCCGCGCGCACGCATCCTACTCCTCGTCACAGCCGCCGCCGCGAGGCTCCTCTCCGTCACACCGCACGCTTCTCCTCTCGTCCACAACCGCGCGCTTCCTCTCTCCTCGGCCGGAGCGCGTACCGCGCGCTCTCTCGTCACAGCCGGGTGACCACCGCGCGCGCATCAGCTCTCTCGTCTTGGCCGCGCCGCGGCTGCGCGAATCCCATCGCACCGCCGCGAGCTTCCTGCTGCTCCGTCAACGTGCGCACGTCCTCTCTGTCCGTCACATCGCGTGACCAGGGGCGATGCCGCCTCACGCCGCGCGCTGTCCCTCGTCGTCTTGCCGCGCCGCGAGATCGCATTCGCGCCGCGAGCTCTCGTCACCCACACGCTCCTGCTCTCAGCCGCGCGCCGCGCGCGTCCTCTCGCGCGCACCGCGCGCGTCTCGCCTCGTCACAAGCGCGCGCTCCTCTCTGCGGTCTTGCGCTGCCTCCTCTCTCGTCTTGCCGCGCCGCTCGCGGTCGCATACGCCGGCGATCTCCTCGCGTCACGCCGCCGCTTTTCGTCACACGGGCGACCCCGCGCGCTTCGGCTCTCTTCGGTCTTGCCGCGCGCGCTCGCGGGGGTCGCATCGCCCGCGAGCTCTTCTCTCGTCACAACACCCGCCGCGCTCCTCTCGTGCCGCCGTACCTGCGCGCCCCCGCTCTCTCGTCACAACCCGGCGCGCGGGTGCCTCTTCTCGTCTTCCGCGCCGCTCAAGCGGTAGCATCGGCGCGCGCGGAGCTCCTCTCTCGTCAGCGGCGCCGACGCGTCCTCTCCTCGCCGGCAAGCTACCGCGCGCTCTCTCGTCACAACCGCGCCGCTCGCTCTGCTCTGTCTTGCCGCGCACGCTCGCTCGGCATCGCGCGCGACAGCTCCTCCTCTCGTCACGCCAACAGTACCGCTCACTTCCTCGGGCCACACCGCACGCTCCTCTGCATCGTCACGCCGGGGCCAGCGCGCTCTCAGGTCGTTCCACAGCCGGAGCCGGCGCGCTCACTACTCTCGTCTTGCCGCGCGCGCGAGCTCGCATCGCGCCGCGAGCTCTCTCGTGCACGCCACACGCTGCCCTACTCTCGGCCGCGCCGCGCGCGCGAGTCGGCTCCCTCGCCGCACCGCGCGCGATTCTCTCGTCCACATGACGCAGCGGGCGGCCGGCGCGCATCCTCTTCGTCCGTCTTTGCCGGCGCTCCTCTCTTCGTCTTGCCGAGCGCCGCTCGCGATCAGCATCGCGCCGGCGAGCTCCTCTCGTGCACGCGCACACGCTCCTCTCTCGCCTCGCCGCAAGACCGCCCCGCGCTCTCTCGTCCACACCGCGCGCTTCCTGCTCTCGTCATTGCCCGCGCATGCCTCTGCTCGTCGTTGCGCGCCGCTCGCCGCGTCGCATCGCGCACGCGATCTCCTCTCGTGCACGCGCGCGCTTCTCGTCCACGCGCCCCACGGCGGGGCGATGCATCCCGCGCCTCCTCTCTCAGTCTTGGCGCGCCGCGAGCATCGCATCCCGCCGCGAGAGGCGCCGCGGAGCATCCTGCTCATCGTCACACCGCGCGCGTCGCCTCTCTCCGCGCCGTAACGCGCGCATCTCTCGTACACCCGCCGGCGCGGGTGGAGGGCGAAAGAGAATCCGCCCTCTCCAGAGGTGAGAGACAAAGAGCGCCAAGCAGCTAACATGCGGCAGGCAGTCCCAACGACGGGCGTCTCGTCTTGCGCGCGCCGACTCGCGTCGCATCGCGCCGCGAGCTCCTCTCATCGTCACGTGACAGGGGACTCCGCTGATCGTGGCCCGCCGCACGCCTCCTCTCTCGCCCGCACGCGCGCTCTCCCTCTCGATCGTCACAGCACCGCGGCGCGGTCACTCTCTCGTCTTGCCGCGCCGGCTCGCTCGGCTATCGCGGCCGCGTAGCCTCCATCTCTCTCATCGGTCACGCCACACGCTCCTCTCTCGCCACGCCGCACGCTCTTCTCTTGCCGCACCACGCGCTCGCTCGCATCGCGCCGCGAGCTCCTCTCTCGTCACGCCGCACGCTCCTCTCTCGCCGCACCACGTGCTCCTCTCTCGTCACGCCGCACGCTCCTCTCTCGCCGCGCGGCGCGCTCTCTTGCCGCATCACGCTCGCTCGCGCCGCGCGCTCTCTCGCCGCACGCTCTCTTGTCAAGCTGCACACTTGTTCTCCATCTCACGCTGTCTCATCGTGTCTGCAGGCAGGAGCTGAAGGACGTGTTTGTGCCGGTGCATCTGTACGGTCAGATGGCTCGGCATCAGGAGGGATTCGAGGAGCTCACCGCGCAGACTCACGTGAACACAATGCTGCGCACGCTGCGTCACGCGCGCTTCTCTAACGAACAGGACATCATCGAGCTGAAGGCTGCGCTCTGGGCGCTGGTGAGTCACACACGCACGCACGCATACTACATACATGCACATACATAGGCCGGCTCAGACACATGCCGGTGCAGGTGCACGCACATGAGAGGAAAGCTAGGGAACCAACAGCTGATTCATTACCGACCACATACACTGACCGACCACATACACTGACCGACCACATACACTGACCGACCACATACACTGACCGACCACATACACTGACCGACCACATACACTGACCGACCACATACACTGACCGACCATATACATTGACCGATCACATACACCGAGTCGGATACCTGCTAACATATAACAGACTGCCGAGACATATGCGAGTGCTGTGAGACTGCTGGCCCTTACTTACACATCGCGGTGTGTGTGTTTGCTTGCAGTGCCACCTGGGGTCGACCGTGAGAGGCGTCGAGCTATTAATCGACCGAGCCGTCATCCCAGACGTGATAAAGCTTGCAGAGGAATGCCCGCTGTATTCCGTGCGAGGGTAGGTCACTTATCAGTACGCAGTACAGTACACAATCTATTATCCGAAATTCTGAAACCCGAAAAGCTCCCAAAACCGAGAGTTTTTATTCTTTTATTCTTTTATTCTTTTATATTATTTTATATTTAAATTCTCATATTAAACTAGGTTATAGTTAAGTTGTAAAAGTATTAATGAAATTTCTCATGTCTCTTGCTAGGACGTGCTTCTATGGGCTGGGTCTGGTAGCAAGCACGCAGCGCGGTGTCGAAGTACTGCAGCAGCTCGGCTGGGAGAGCCTGTCGCACCCACGCCACGTAGCGTGGCCCGTGACGCAGTCAACAGACATGCGCGAACCCTCTGTACAAGATAGAGGGTAAGCAGAAGTAGGGAGACTTGTAGGATCTCCTCTCTCAGTCCACTTGCATGTTACCCCGTTCTCGCTTCTTCTTGCTCATCGCAATAGGCTTCCTGCATCTTCTTTTTCGCGTTCTCTTGAACCTTGACCCATTCTCTCTCCTCTCCCACTTATCTCTACGTCCTTTCTCTACATCGATCTCACTCTCTCTTGTACCTCGCCCCTTTCTCTCTCCCTGCTCAATGCTAGACTCTTCCCCTGTACATATAACCCTTTGTTCTCATTGCTCCCTATGGCTCCTATGCCACCAGCTCGCCGCTATGCTTTCTCTTCAGCCGTTTCCTCTACCACGGCAGTCGGTGAGCTAACAAGCGCGCGTTCGTCGGTGAGCTAACAAGCGCGCGTTCGTCGGTGAGCTAACAAGCGCACATTCGTAACAAGCGTGCGTTTGTCAGTTAGCTAACAAGCGCGCATTCGTAACAAGCGAGCGTTCGTCGGTCAGCTAACAAGCGCGCGTTCGTCGCTCTGCAGGCTACGCAGCAGGACTCTCAGCGAGGCCAGCAGTACAGCGCTGTCCGACATCACGACTACCGGCGGGGGTGGCGTGGGCGGGGGCGGGGGTGGCGGGGAGCAGGGGAGGCAGCAGGACACACTGGAGCTGCCGGACGCTTGCTTCTACATCGGCTCCAATAACCCGAGTCCGGCGCTCGACGGGGTCGAGTACTTCATCGACGACGACGTGCGCGGCTACACCGCCAGTAAGTACTTACCCACGGCTCACACATTCTGCCAGTAAACACCTATCCCTTCATGTATTCAGCCTGTAAATACTTATCTGTACTACCAATCATCTATTTTAAATGTTAAAATACCCACAAATGCAGTTTGAAGTCGTATGCAAGTCTACATCTTTGTCTACATCTGTGTACATGTTATAGTTTACTCGTCTGACGTAGCGAGAAGTTGACCGTGCCCCTTTAAGCACCGTTGATAAGTTGGTCAAGGTCCCCCTGATTGCATTTGTACGTCACTGTGTAGTTTTTTAAAGGCTATTTCTCAGCACTGATTGGCTGGAAGTGCTTGTCCATCATGTCAGACAGTCGCATATAATAATATATATATATACGATATATGATACATATATATATATATATATATATGATATATGATATAGTCGATATATGATAATCTGTTCCTGATCTATGACGTCACGTGAAACATCGCTATTAGGCCTGCGCGATGGTGTGTGCATATGTTTGCTAGTGAATTAGACCCGCTAAAATTCGAGGCTGTTCGCTGGCAGCAATTGATCCGTGCGCCGGCCTTTCAATTTGGCGCACGGATCAAAAGCTGCCAGCGCGTGATACTTTCGTAGGACGTTCCCGCGGTCGCGTGCGCCTTGCCGCGGAACTGCGCGCAAGATTCGCGCTTAGCGGGCAGGATCAACACCTCTCAGGCGACGCTTCTCTGGTATCCGGTCTCTCATCTGGATTTCTGGCTTCTTTGCAGATGGCGACATGATCCAGTCTCGTCGCCACGGCGACACATCACCTCAGTTCTCTGCGAGCTTCAGTGCAGACGGCCCCATCTTCACCAAAGATCGCAACTACCTCCCGCGCACGCAGACCCTGCCAGCAGGGGGCGTTGCGTCGTCCGGCGGCGGTGGGCCGCGCGCGACCCATCAGCGGGGCAGCACAGAGCTGCTAGCTCGTGATAGGTCAGTACCGAGGACGACAACGACGCAACGTTTGTTGTCGATGTTGCGTAGCGCCCTCTTGTGGTGGTCGTCTGCAAAGGTTAAAGTATGAGTGTCTTGTTGTGGGCTCTAACATGCTAAATTGTTTGTGTGGTGGGGAAGAAGGGATGAATCTTGTTAATTTTTGTGTGATTTGTAGACATAATTAGGTGGTAGTGGAAAGTTATTCTATGCAGTTAGCCCAAAAATGGTGTTCTCTCTGGCATTTTGAGAATGAAAATGAAGTCGTGGTGGACACAGTTCCCCTCACTGTATATATATGTGTATACATATATATATGTGTGTTTGTGTCTGTATGTGTGTGTGTATTGTAGGGTGGACTCTGCAGGCAGCAGCAGTAGCGGTGCGGGCAGGAGGAGACGTAGCGGGGTATCAATGCTGCCAGTGGACAGCGCGGCGGCGGCGGCGGCACGGCTGCACGCTGGGGGGCCGAGCCACGCCCGGTCTGCCAGCGATGTCGTACACATCACGTATACACAGCCGAAGCTCGGCGGCAAACCCAGGAGCGAGAGCATGAGGTAAGCACTAGCTGAGAGATTGTGAAGGTGAACACTAGCCGAGAGGTTGTGAAGGTAAGCGCTAGCTAGAGCTGAAGGGTAACTGAGAGGTAACTATATGTGAATGGTAACTCTATAGAAGTGGTAACACCATGTGAAGGGTAACTGAGAGGTAACTATATGTGAATGGTAACTCTATAGAAGTGGTAACACCATGTGAAGGGTAACTGAGAGGTAACAATGTGAAGGGTAACTCTATATAAGTGGTAACACCATGTGAAGGGTAACTGAGAGGTAACATTATGTGAAGGGTAACTGAGAGGTAACAATGTGAAGGGTAACTCTATATAAGAGGTAACACCATGTGAAGGGTAACTGAGAGGTAACAATGTGAAGGGTAACTCTATATAAGAGGTAACACCATGTGAAGGGTAACTGAGAGGTAACAATCTGAAGGGTAACTATATATAACAGGTAACACCATGTGAAGGGTAACTGAGAGGTAACAATGTGAAGGGTAACTCTATATAAGAGGTAACACCATGTGAGTGATTGGTAATTGGAAGTATA